ACATCTGTATCTTTTATTTCGAAAGTTTTTCAATGTCAACACAACTATTCATGAAAAGCTGTACAAATGACTCAATAAAAATTATTGGTTATTCTTTTGTAACATTCATATTATTAAATTATGTAACTCCTATTTGTGCTACTTCTTTAACAGTAGGTGAATTAATTTTCCTTCATGTTTTATATTGATTGATCGTAAAAATGATTTTTTTTTTTTTTTTTTTTTTTAACGAATCGAGTTTTTTTATAGACATTTTATAATAAATTAGATAAAAGAAAAAAAGCCATATGGGATAACACGTTTGTTAGTTACATTCATGCTTGGATATGTTCGATTATAACCCCAGTATGGTAAATCTTTTATTTCATAGAAAGTAGTTAGTTTTTCCATTAAACCTCATATTTTTCCTTTTTCAATTGGCAGTTTTTATTATTATCCTCACGCATGGCATGATATGATATACGCGGATGTATCATTATGTAGATTTCAAATTGCCCTTTCTACTGGTAAGGATCGTTAATGGTTTATTTATATGCATGTATGTATACGACAAAAATTCTTGGTTTAATTGAAATTAAAATATATTATATAGGTTATTTCTTTGCTGATATGTTTGACTTTTGGATAAAAAATATTTTTATGGATTCTCCTGGGATTTGGTTTCATCATGTTGTGGTCATTACGACATTTTTTGCATCAATTGTAACTTGTCAATTTTCACCATATTTAGTCGCAACGTTACTTGTTGAAATAAGTAATGTCTTCCTTCATCAAAGGAAACTTTATCTTACCTCTTTCAAGACAAAATCAACTTCTTTTTATAAAATTAATTCTTTATTACTCCTCTTAACTTTTATTTTTGCAAGATTCACTGTTCACGGTTATCTAACTATAAGAGTTTGGAGGGAATATAAACTTTTTGAAAATATTGCTTATTGGAGAATTGCATTCTTGGGTATGATTGCCATGAATGTTCTAAATTTGCAATTATTCTTACAATTATGGAGTGCTGATTGGAGTAAAATAATTTTGAAAAAACGTGCTAATACTAGAGAATTATAAAAAATAATGACGCG